TAATAACACCTGCTTTGCTCTTATGTCCCTTTACTTCTTTTACAAGTGATTTATTTCATGTGGCCAAAATAGTTTTTCAGTTACTATGTATATTTTTTCATTTATTATGTATTAGTTGAAATGTTAATATCAGTGGTTTCAGCCACTTAGTAGGTTCAGGACTTTCAGAAAACTTGTATAATAGATCAGCATATAAAATATTATTTTGGGAAAGTTCATATCCTCTGGGGAGTCAGAAAACAATTTATTTTTGTATTACTAAGGTTCTTCCTATCTGCTTTTGGCTTGCTGATTCAGAGCCCATTTCATAGTTCATTGGTATCACTAAAATTGGGAAAGTTGGAGAAAAAATAAGACCATATAAACTTCACAGGGGAAGAGTATAGTATGCTTGCAGACATTTGTTGGTGTTAATGGAACTAGGTTAAACACTGCCTGTTACTGTGATTATTATGAATAAATTTCATTTTCCTGTGAACTAGTATTATAACTACTCAGGTTTAGAAAGGTAGAAGATAACATGGGGAAAATCCAGGTAATCTGTAGCTTAGTGATAACCTTTTAGATACCACACCAAAAGCATGATCCATGAATGAAAAAAAAAGAAAAAGATAAGTTGGGCCTCACTGAAATGGAAAGCTTTTACCCTGCAAAAGATAATGTTAAGAGAGTGAGAAGGTGAGCCACAGACTGGAAGAAGATTTTTGGAAAACACGTATCTGATAAGGGACTTATATCTAAAATATACAAAGAGCTCTTAAAACTCAACAGTAAGAAGAAAAATTACAAATTGGACAAAAAATCTGAACAGACATTTCACCATAGAAGATATATAGATGGCAAATAAACATAAAAAAAGGTGCTCCCTAAAAATGTTTCACATTTGCCATTAGAAAATTGCATATTAAAACAATGACATACTATGTCTCACCTATTAAAATGGCCAAAATCAAAAACACTGACAACATCTTCATCCAATTCTGATAAAGAGATGGAGCAAGAGTAACTCTCATTTATTGCTGGTGGGAATGAAAAATGGTACAACTACTTTGGAAGGCAGTCTGATAGGGTCATATAAAGCTGAACATAGGCCTATCATTCCATCCAGGATTAATACACCTAGTTACTTGCCTCAATAAATTAAAAATTATATTCACAAAAAAACCTGAACATGCATGTTTATAGCTGTAGCCAAGATGTCCTTCAATAAATGGATGAATAAAAAAACTGTGGTATACCCATACACGAAGGGATTATTCACACACACACACACACACACACACACACACACACGAGACAGAGAGAGAGAGAGAGAGAGAGAGAGAGAGAGAGAGAGAGAGAGAGAAATCAAACTATGAAAAAGTGTGGAGGAAACTTAAAAGCCTACAGCCAAATGAAAAAAGCCACTCTCAAAATACTACATATCATGTAATTTTAATTAATGATATTCTGGAAAAAGTGAAACTTTGAAGATAGCACCAAGATCAGTTGTGACCAATGGGTTTGGGACAGGGGAACAGTGGAGGTTGGAACTCAGGACATGTTCAAGTCAGTGAAGCTATTCTGTATGATCTTATCAAGGTGGAGACATGACTTTATACATTTGTCAAAACTCAAAGAACTGTAAACACAAAGACTACGTATGCACTTTAATTAAGAAATATCTGTCAATATTGGTTCAGTTGTAGCAAAATTCCACACTAATGAAGAAATTGTGTTGCAGAAGAGGAAGAGTATATAGGAATTCTGCACATTCAATTATGTATTTTTTTCTGTAAACTAGAACTGCTCCAAAAAATTAGCCTGTTAATTGTTTAAAATAATCTAATATTTTAAAATGGTACTTCAAATGGAAAATATACTGAAATGGGTAACTTTCTGTCAAAAATGAATGAAAAATATGGAGGTAAAGAACAATAGTATCTTAACTCTTCTCCTTCACACTTTACTATAAATAAATGCAATTAGAATAAAGGTTCTGATTTGAGATTGCATCTTTTAGTAATCCTTTTTTTTCTATTTTAAATATATTTTAAATTGAAATCTAGTTTACAAAGTGATATTCTAGGTCTAGTATTAAACAAATATTAATTAAGGGTGTTATTTTTATTATGATCTATTTAGCAATAATCTTGTGAGAACACCATAGCAAATATAAATCACTTTATTTTTAAAACTACTTCCAAAATACATAATGAAATAATAAGTAGCATAAGATCTAAAGTGATTTTTATTCTCTTCCAAAATTTTTAACTTGAGTGATTGACACAGATGAAAATCTGAAAGTTTCTTATTTTAAATGTCTTTCAGTTCCATTTTTCTCTTTATCTATTCCTTATTTTATGTGTTGGGATGGGTGTATATTTATTTTATACTTTTCATTTTGGAGTAATTTTACAAAAACATTGAAAAGGAGGTATAGAGAGGTTTTTCTGTGTGTGTACTTTTACCCAGCTTCCCCTAATTTTAACATCTTAGATAGCAATGGTATATTCATCAAAATTCAGAAATTAGCATTGATACAACACTATTAATTAATATACAAATGTTATTCTTACTTCACAGGTTTTTCCACTGATTTCTTTTTCTGTTCCAGGAAACAGGACACCATTGAATTTTTTAGTCATGCTACCACAGATTTTCTTTTGATCCGTTACAGTCTCTCAATTTTTCCTTCTTTTTCAAATTCTTGAGAGTTTTTCAAAATAGTAAGTATTTTGTAGACTGTCTCTCAATTTGTGTTTGTCTTGATTTTTCTCAAGGTTAGACTGAGGAAGTGAACTTTTGGAAGAGTACCACAGAGGTGAAATGTCTTCACCTCATGATATCATTGGGTACATGATATCACCATGACTTTTCATGGTGATCTTAAACTTGGCCTCTTGGTTAAAATGCTCTCTACCTTCCAGTTTTCTCCTCCATAACGTTTCTATTTTCCCTTCCATTCATTATTTTTGTAAGTGTGTCACTAAGTGAAATCCACATGCAGGAAGAGAGTATCTATATATACTATCTGGAATTCTTGTGTAAGGAAAACCCACCTTTTATCTTTATTTATTTATTTATCATTTATTCATAACAGTATGGACTCATGGATATTTATAATGCTCTTTGAGTTAGAATCCATTATCATCAGCATTTATTTTCTTGCTTGTATTTTTCCAACTTTGGCAATGGGAGCTCTTTCAGTTCAACTCCTGTGTCCTTTAGACTACTCCTTTTTTTAAATAGAAACTATATCTGGAGAGACCTACAGGATATGTTTAGTCATTTTAGTATAAGATGGTAGTTTACCTGAGCATGCTATTAGCATCACCCCATTCTGCTACACCTTTGAGATACATTTACTGATTGTTTGTTTAATATATATTTATTGGGCACCTAATGTGTACCAGACACTGTGCTAGGCACTGTAGATAGATAGATTAAGGGATGAGATCAGAAATATAACAAGGTGCTGATGATGCAGATCCTACAGACCTTCGCGGAGAACTTCGGAGTTTTTGCTACATAAAATAGAAAGACTCTGCAGTGTGTTGAGCAGATTATTGCAAGGTCTGCTTTTGCATAGAGCCTGATCAATCTAGCTGCTATATTAAAATGATAATAGATCGCCCAGTATTCACACAGAAAGACTAGTTTGGAAAAGCAACACAGGTGAGGTTGATGCTTTGAAGGTCGCTGTGGGATGGTGAGAAGACTGTGTTCTGGGTTTCTAATGGATTAGATCTGAGCTGTGGGAGAAAAGGGATGGAGTGTTGTGCAACTTGGGTGGTGAAATTGCACAACACGTGTGTATGTGTAACAGGCACACAAACATATATATATTTTTGTCTTCTCTGTTTTTAAAAGATTACATATTGAATGTAATGGTTGTCTAGAATATGAAAATGATAACTGCACAATGTGTAAGTGGATCTTCATTGCATAATGTTTGGTCACAATTAAAAATCATTATGTTATTTTGTTTAATTATAACAGTAAATATTAGCCATATATATATATGTATATATATACACACACATATATATTCACTTCTCTATAATTCTGGCCACTTGACTCTTCATGTCTTCATTGTAAATAAATCTCAGAATATTTTCCTGTAATATCCCTTTGAATCAGTGACAATATATTTTGGATATTTTTCAGTTGTTTCTTCACCAGATATATAGGTATCCAAGTGCTTTGAGTCTTTTCAACAAACCCCTTTTTCCAGGTTGTTTAACATTCTTCATTGTTCATAATGATAGTATTTGAATTTGTCATAACTTAGTGCTGTGGTAAATGTAATGTTTAGTATTAAATTTTTATATCAATTCAAAGATTTGCCAATAACATATAATGTTTAGAAATGTTAAAATGAGATTTACTTATTTTTCCTTAAGTTATAAAATTGCTTTCTACGTATTCCAATCTCATAGATGATGTTCCATCTTTCTATTCCCTGTACAGTGAAGAATTCATCCTTTTTGTAACATATATATGTTTATTTGTATATGTAATTTATATTATATTATATTGTGCTATATAACATTTAATATTTATATATTAAATATATATTTATATAGTTATATTTATTTATATCTATTTAAAACATGCCACAAATCTTTCTCTTAAGCAACACTTCTACAAAATTTTGTTATGTAATTATGTACTAGGTGTTTTTTAATTTATCTATAAGATATCCCTATGCTAATTTTAAATACATCTAAATGTGAATGTGTCAGTAATAATATATTGGTTTGAGGTGCATGCAGAATTCAGAGATAAAAACTCTATTCTTTTCTTGCTTTGGAATTTCAGATACTAGTGGCCATATTAAGAAGCAGAGATAAAAGGAGAAAGCAAGAAATAATTGGAATGCTGGTAAAGTAATCCTCTACACTGCAGCAATTTACAATAGTGTGTTATATATAGAAAAGGATCAGTCATTGTTTTCAAGCCTGCTAAATAAAACTGAACTCTTGGAATGGCATGGCACTTGACCTTTCCTGGTTTCACCCACAGTATTTAAACTGGTGCAAAGGGAACACACTGGCAAGTGTCTTCTGTTGACATGACAGATTCTCCTGGTAATTCACACAATGTTCAAAAGGCACAAGCCCCTTGCTTCAGAACGCAAGAGAGAAATATTTTCCCGAGGAGCTACACGGTCCATCCTGAAGAATGACTTGAGAAACTTCCACTGTTTGTCGCATTTTGTGCTCTCAGCGGGCCCTCTAAAATCAATTCCAGTAGTTAAACATTCAAAAACTACGCACTTTGAGATTGAAGTACTTGATGCTCAAACAAGAAAGCAGATATGTATTGTGGATAAGGTAAGTTATATTTGTTCACTTAAATTTCTCTTATCTGCACCAAAGATTATTGGTCACTTGATTAAATGCTGACGAAGTTGTATCAAAACATAGTCCTGGCTTTTAACGCTAGTTTTATGATGAGTAGGATAGATACTTCATATACTATTTCAGTGGAAGATATTCATAGTCAGTTTAAATAGTAGCTAATTATTATGTCTGTTTTTTCTGTTAAGGTGGACCATTGTGGAGAGGTAAAATTTCCAATGCTCAGCTTCTCAGCCTTCACAACAAAATTTCCCTAGGTTTTTCTCTCTGTATACTTCATTACGTATTCAAATTATCATAGAGTTTATTAGTGTTCACAGAAAATAGCAAGCGAAAGGCGACAAACTTACTAAAAATGATATTTAGCATATATGATACAGTCTAGTCATTTGAAAATTATTTAGAATTCGTTGTCTTGAAAAATGAACATCTCGCTTTTTATGGAAAGTTTACTTATTTCAAAATTACAGTGTTTAAATTCCTTAAAAAAGTCTCGCTTAATATGTTAAACATTTTTATATTCACGTCAAAGATGTTTCATTCAGAAAAGATAAAATATATACTTCCTGGGTTAGAAAATTAACACATAAATATACGTGTACATCATGGATATACGTATGTGTATACAATATTTCATCCATTGTCTGTTTTTCATTGGCTTGAAAGGTCACTAGTAGTTTAATTTATTGAGAAAGATTGACATTTTTTACAACAATATATTTTCATTTATTTTGCTATACAGACATGTCAAATAAGTTTTTTTGTATTGTTCTAAAAATAAAATTCAGTCACTGATTTCATTTAACTATACTCTAGCTATGTTTCTGGATAAGAGGGAGAGACAAAACTGTTCCTGCTTTTAATTGCAGAAGATCATACGTACTTTCTCACTTAGTAATTGTAAATCTATGACCAACCTATTAGCTAGTAACAGTAACTTTTATTTACATATGGAAATAAAAGATAAAGAACTTTACAAGTTCATAAAGTTCATAAGTGGAATGCAAGAGATTCAAAACTATTTGTATGGAATTCCAAATCACATTATTTTTCAATACTACCACTAGAGTCATATATAAATGAATATATATTGTGGTAATAGAATTTTAACATAAATTTCATGCATGTTGTAATTTACTTCTATTTTAATACCTCAATAAGGTTTTTGGGTTTTTTTATATCATACAAGACTAAGACAAAACAAAACAAAAAATCACCCAGAGGTTACTGATGTTTGTATTATTTCACTCTTAAAAATTTAAAACTCATCAGAAAAATACAATTAAATTAAAGGAAAGAAGGTAGTGAATAGATACTGAATTGGTCAAGGATTTTCAAAGATCAAGATTCTAAATGAGACTGGCTTTTGTGTCCTTTCTGACTTGTGTCTAAACCTTGATGCAAAATCCATCTCAGAGTAATGAGAAACCGCTAATGGGCTGCTAATTATTTTTTCCCATATATTTAAATTTTGATATTGAGATTTTATTTGAAGGTAAGACATGGGGGTTTACATTTTCAATTATTAATTAAATTGTGAAAGAAATTGAGCATGCAGAAAGCCAATATTCTTTAGAGACAAAGATTTGGTTTAGGAATTTTGGTTTAAAGGCAGACAGCCTCTCTGCTGTCATGTTATCCCTCCTTTGTGGTATAGTCAATAAACTATCTCCTTTAAAAAGAAAAGGAATTTTGGTATAGAAATTTTGCTTACATTTCAGTAATTCTTGTAATTGCACTACCAGTAGCAAACCTTTAGGGAAACTCAGTAGGCCACATAGGGGATTATTTCTGGATTCCTCACCAGCCTTTATTGCACAATTAACACCAGATGATGTGGAAGTTAAAACATCCAAGTCTTTGACTTGTCAGTAAAACTGGATTTTGTTTTGTCTTGTTTTAGTTTGGTGGCTTGATAAATTGTCCCAACAATGCAAGACATTTAAAAGAAAAAAATCTGGATTAATTCACTTTTTTTTGCTTCATGATTCCTAAAAGTTCAAATTTATAAATATGAGAAAGACTGATTTTGTTTATTGTTCAGGATACTGTTTTGCCTAGACAAAGTAACAGCTATCTTAGCAGTAAGGTCATGTTAAGTGCCTTTCATTGTACTTGGCTCTACTCAACATACTAAATAAGTATTGCTTATGACAGCGCCTATCTTTCAGTAAGCACTGTGTTACAAAGCAGTAAAAGTTAAAAGTCATGGACGTTGGAATTAAATATATCTGGACCAAATCCCTGCTGCATCAATCATATTTATCAAGGTGCAGAAAACTCTGACATGCTGATCACCAGGACCCTTATTTAGAAAATAGGTTAATAAAATCTGTACATAAGCTTGGAATGAAAACTAAAAATAATATATGTAACATATTTGTCATGATGCCTTGAACACAATATATAAACTAATATATATATATATATATATTAGTTTTAATAATCATTTGGAGAGATAAATTTAATGTGTATAAATGTAAAAAAAAAATAAGTGATGAACCTTGTGATACTAGCAGAGTTTAAATTTGACTCCTTGATAATTGCCCATTGACATGATTTCTTATAATGCATAGATTAGATATAAATATTCAAATAGTTTGAGCAGAATATATGTATTTTAGTAATATATGCTGACCTCTAGTAGAAAGTTAGTTTTCATCTAGGTACTATAATTTAAACTTCGATATAGACAATGTATCTACTAAAGATATTCATGAAACAAAAACATCAAAAGAATTCCTGGGATTAAAGAAAATATACTGAGTCATGTTCTTTTACTTAAGATCACATACACATGTACATGCACCCACACATACACACACACACACACACATTCATGCATAGACACATGCCTGCATGCACACACACACCCCCAAACGCAAAAACCTCTTGCCTTCACTATCTTCTCCAGCTTCTGCTTTATTTCTATGATTACTTTCATCCTCTTCATATGGTCTATCCACATTTCTCTTTTCATTCGATCCTAAAACTACTCCATTTAGGCATTTGCCTCCATACCTTTTCAGTTTGATTTTGCCACAGCAAAAATTCCTTGCTAAAATCCAAAGGTCAATTCTAATGCTTTATCTTAGCGTATCAGCAACATTTGCCACTGATAGGTACTTCTTCCTCTTTTGCTATATGAGTTCAGGATAATAGACATATTTAAAAAAAAAACAAACTTATTTCATTGCTTCTCCATTTTCTCTTGCTGCTTCTTCATCATCTGACTTACTAGGTGTGGACTGTCACCAACTCAGTCATTGAAACTTCTCCCAATATTTACTCATTTACCTTTTTGAAGTCCCATAGCTTCAAATATTATCTATTGATGACATATATTATATGTAACTGTAGCTTATCTTTTTCTCCTCAACTGTCAATCCATTTATCTATGTATCCATACATCTCTGTATGTATCTCTATCTATCATCTATCTATCTATCTATCTATCATCTATCTATCTATATTTACCTATGCATCTATCTATGTATCTAGTTATGTATCTACCCACCCATCTATCTGGATGCTTACTAGGAATCTCAAACTTAGTATATCTAAAATTGAACACGTGGTCTTACCTCAAAATTTTATCACAGAGTTTCCGAAGTCAATAAGTGGCAACTGCATCCTTCGAATACCTCAAGTCAAACACTTAGAGGCATCATAACTCCTATCTTAATCTCATACCCCACATGTAATCCATCGTCTCAGTGATACTTTCAAATATATCCAAACTGACAAATTTTCACCACCTCTACTGCTAGCGCTCCTAAATCTTTCCTCTGTTTCTGTTCTTAGCACTTTCAGTATATTCCTTACATAGTAACTAGAGCTATCAGGTCAGATCATAACATTTGCTTCATAAAACTAGTCAGTGTCTTATTTGGGTCCACTTAATTGTCACTTTTTCTTTGGGAGAATTTGCTGACTACTTATTTAAAGTGGTAAAATCTGCCAATATTCTCTATTACCCTATCCTGTTCTATTTCTTTACTACAAGTTATTACCATTTAATATACTGTTTATTTTCCCTTTTTTTCATTTTGTTTATTATTTGGCCTACCCTGTTATTCCACCTTTGCAAAATCGGGGATCTGGTTTTGTTTTGTTATCATTCCTGTATCTGCAACATTTAGAACAAAGATAAGTGTTTAACCAAAATGTATTGAATAAATTATACCTGTTCAAAAGTTTCGTGGATTTCACAATGCACTCATATTTAGCAGTGATAGTTTTGGGGTGAAAGAGTAGGATATTTGAAAATACTTTTTACTATTCTCTAAATCAAAATATCATTAAAATAAATATAAATATATTCACAGAGAAAGACATTTGATTAAACCATTTCACTAAATGCCCAAATTCTTCTGGGTTTTCTCCCGAGAAAGATGTATAGAATTTAACTTTGTATTAGTGTATAATTTACTGACCATCATATTCTGATTATAAAAAGCTAATAAGGTTTTTATAAGGCAGACAATACAGATGGGGCTATTTTTTAACTAATTTATTTATATCCCATATGTAAGTAAAATAATATGACTAATGTAGGATGAAAAGATGGAGAGCTGGTAGCTGAATTAAAATGTAAATATCATGCTTGTTTTTATTGGGACATAAAAAATATATAAAAAATAATTTTTACAACTTTAACAATGAGTTATTTTCAGTTGCTCACTATCCTTGTCTCACTTCTATTTTGTAAAATGTCAAAAGCTTATCTAGTGATATATTGATGGTTCAAGAGCACAGCAAGAACTTTAAAAGCTAGGATTGATAAATGTTCCCAATATCATCCCATACTTTTCTCTTTAATCTTTTCTCCAAGGAACTTGACCTCAAGAGCCCTCTTTCTCCTATTATTTTATTTGCTTTATGTCAAAACTCTAAAAAGCATTTTAAAAACTACTTATAGGAGTGCACTTGTTGTGATGAGCACTGGGTGATGTATGGATTGTTGAATCACT